AGACCAGTGGATGGAAGAACAATTAGGACAATTTTGGTTAGATATGAGAGAATTTTCTAATTGCCCACAGTACCTAAAAATGGAAAGATTTCCTGTTGGTGGCAGTCAACACTTGGGAAAAGTTAAGCCCACTTGGTTGGCTGGGCTGGTGAGACTGTAAAGAATCCTTGAGTTTGAGGGTAGATCTTTCGTTTTAACAGATTTTACTACTCTGCCTTTATGAAACTTGAACAGTAATTCACCTCTTTCTATGAAAGAAAAGATTAGTAAAAATGAAACCAATACCTGGTTTGTATTCCTTAATGCATGCTGACTCTCTAAAAATCATAAGGGTTTAATTTTAGTTGATCCTGTTCTGATCGTTTTTGATATATTGTGAGTTCCATTCCAACAGCCCTTCATATTTACAAAACTGAAAAACTGGCAACTTTAGGTAGCGGGACTGAGTCTTTTTTTTTTTTAGCACTAAGATTTCTCAACTAGTGTTAAAATACTAAGTGAAAAGTGTTATGAGATTTCCTGGTGCGTCACTGAATCTCAAGAACAAATAAGTCCTCTCAGTACACAATGCACTAAGGTGAAACCAGAGAGAAAGAACATTTGCCTTGCAGCTTCTGAAGAGCTGTACTCTCCTTGGCTACTCCTCTGAACCCTCAGGTCAGGGGTTTTTGCCTACCTCTACCTGAACAGAGGTCTCTCTGCTGATTAGGAAAGCTTGTGGCCAGATTGGAATAGGAAGACTAAAGTGGCACTTAGAGCTGAGCTCAATGCTGAAACCAAGGGATCACATGTCGCTGCAACCGTAAAGGGCATCCTAAAATCAACAGTAGGCAAATGTGGAGTGCTAAAGATGGGGCAATCAGGAATATTTAAAGCTTCCTTTAAAAAGTTTCAAAAAAACGTTGCCAGTGGTTCAGTCCACTCAGCCTAATATATGGATCCAAAGGGTCATTTTGGAGGACAGCGTGAGGGTCCTCCATTGTGTTGTGGTGTCGAAAGGCAATGGCCCTGGACTCAGATGGCCTCAATTCAAATCCCACGTCTGCCTCTTACTAGGCCTCTTACTCAGATGGGCTCAGTTCACATCCCATGTCTGCCTCTCAATGTTTATAAGGCTCAGTTTCTTCTGAAAAGTGGGGATAATGAGAGTATTTTAGAGAATTGTTATGAGGAGTAAGTAAGATAATGCATGTCAAGTGTTTATTGTTTGCTCATAGTATCATACAACCAACGTCATTAAAAGCCTTCCAAGATTCCCTCCTAGCAGGAAACAGATAGAACCTTATGTAAACGGAAGGGGTCAGCTGTGTTTGGATGGTCAAATTGGTTTGATGGCTTGGGGAGGGAGAGGTACTGGGAGGGATGAAAGGAGATCGGCTGGGCCAGGGCGTGGGTGCACAGTCCTCCTCGTCCACGCAGCCCTTTTCCCAGCCCTTGCTTTCCCTGCACCCTTGATCCCCCTCCTCCCTCAGCGGGATCTTCTTCCTTCCTCTTCTCTGAGAGGTCAGGGCTTCGCCTTCAGCTTCAGAAAGGTAATGAAGAGAAGAGTGACTTATTCTCTCCTCCTGAATTCTACTGAACGAATCTTTGGAAGAGTAGCGGGATTTTCTACATTGTAATCTTAACTCACTGTAGAAAAGTGAAGGAGGATCATATAAGGAGAGTTTTGGTATGTGTGTATCAAACGGGTGGTGGTGTGGGTGATGGTGGTGTTGATGGAGAATGGACATTGAGAGCTGTGTGTGCAGCACCTTGACTGCCATTCCTCCTTGATCTGGGGAGGAGGTCCAGAACCTAGTGGTGGTCCTAGTGGTCAAATTCATTATATTTACATTCACGGTTATCATGGCTCTTCTGTGGTCCCTGAACAATAAATGCATGAAGAGCTCTTGAACGCAATTCCTGACTGAGGTAGCTTTCGAATAGGGACTTTGTTCTCTCTGCTTCTAGCTTACTTCAGGTGGCCGGCCCTCTCTTTATTTATCTGTTTTTATTTTGTTTTCAAAAGAATGATAACACCCATCAGGGCTGCAGCTGTTCGGTTGTCCAGGGCATTTCATGTCGGGTCCCGCAGGTTGAAATCCAACTTGAAATCAGTCTACGCATTAAGGCATTTGCCCTGTCCGGGTGGCATCCATCTGGAGGGAGGAAGGAAAGCCTTTTTTTTCTTCCACAAAAGTCCAGTGTGGGATAGTCTACCCCTACGCCTGTTTGGCCAGCTGATGCTTTCCTTTCTCTGAGGGTAAAACTGAAACATGCAGGATGTTGAAATGCATCATCCTGCTGGGTGCAAGCTTGTGTCACATGAAGCTGCAAATCCATTAATGTGCTTTTCAACCCCTGTACTGCCTCTCCTTTTCCTTATCTCTGAAAGGAACTATTTTTAGTTCCAGATGCTGGAGCTACTGTGATTCAAAACCTTTCAGTCACTTTCTTTGGAATGCTGATGAGTCAAAACCAGAATGATTACAAAACTAGAAAGATTCTACAGAAGCAGTCATCCCTTAATATGGGGAAAACATACAAAAATAAAAGGTATATGATATCGTAAAAATTTTTCTAGAATACAGGAAACATACCAGCAGTAAGGAAGTTTAGTCTCACTTTTTAATGTAGAAGAATAGTTTGGAAGAGTTAAAAGGAATATAGTTCACCCAACACACCTATTTCTATTGCTTCAAACTCATTCTTTCCACCCTAAGTAAACTGGGGGAGTCAGCTGTGTTAGGATGGGCTCATTGGTTTGATGGTTTGGGAAGGGAGGGATATTGGGAGGGGCGAAAGGAGGGAATTGGCTTCTCTGGTCAGCTGGTGGGGCTTGGAGCCCTTGTGGATGAGGCTGAGGGTCATGCCCAGCAATGCACTGTGACGCCAAAACACCAGGGGCGCTCTGTAACGTCTGGCTTCCTGGATACCTTTTGTGAAGTACCCAGGTAGAGCATTTTTACTAGGTTATAAAAGTAGAATCCTTTTTACTCTAGGTAAGTTTTTTTTTTTTTTTTTTTTAACCTAAGAGTGGCTTTTTCTGTTTTTAGTAATGAACCATGTAGCCAGTAAAAACTTTACTCTTTTACCCAAAAAGGAGCATGGTTAATCCCAAAGGCATTTTTTAGATCAGCCTGGATAGTACTTAACCTTTAATCAACCAATTCTCTAGCCAAAAAGCAGCTGCCAACTCTAGAATACTTGGCTGTTTTGCATAAAATAGCGGGATGAGTAGTGACAATTTCCCTGTCTTTCTCACTGATGCTCTTGGGTCAGCACCACATACCACAGCTCTGCTCGAAGTCGCAAGCTTTTTTGTATCCTTGCTTGGGTGGATCAAGAATAACGTAATGGAGTATATATTCTGTGTATCTTCTCATTAACACAAATTGAAATAAAAAACCAAGTCTGGTAGGGTATAATGAAACCAACACCCTCATTCAGTGCCAATGGTATTGACTTTAGAAATAATTTGGCAATATGTATCCAATGCTATTAAAAGTTCTTTACTTTTTAATCCCAATTCTTTGCAAGTATTCTGAGGAAGTAATTTAAAATATGGAAAAATTGTACGTGCCAAGATATCCTATGAAATGTTTTAGTAAAAAATGGATATAACCTAAATGTTGAATTAGGGCAGTGGTTAAATAAATGCGTATTTGATATAACATTATGCAGCCACTGATTCAATACATATACCATGTAAGTAAGCAGACAGAGCCACGATATATTAAGTGAAAAAGGAAGGGTACAAAATTGAATATACAGTATAGGTAGAACTATTTTCAAAAAGTTTTATAGAAAAATAGCCTGGATTGTGGGTGATGTTTTAATATATTTTAATCATTTTATATAAGGTCATATAGAATATATGATAATAAAAGTAAAAGAAATGGCCTTTGTGGAGCAGGCAGAAAAATGTCAAACCCAAAGCCTTTTGGTTATTTCAGTGTGTGGGAAGGTCACACATAAGGCTCCTCTCAGCTCCATGTGTGAGCCAGGAAGGCTAATCCTGTTGAAGGTCGTCTTGGAAATGGCCTCGTCAGCACCACACAAAAGCAGAGAGAACCATCCTGCCTTCCAGCAAGGATCTGAGAAACAACCAAGTCTCCTATTACAACCGCTGCTCACACCTCTCTCCCCTAAGACACTATAATTCTCTCTCATCTATGTATCAGCCCAACTTACACTTTCATTATTTATTTAATTTCACTGCTTAAATTGACAACAAACTATGACAAGCTACAGAAGCTACTTTTTTATACTACAAATGCATTTCATAGATGATTAATGTTGAACAAAATTTGGAATATATTATTTACAAAGCATACCACAAAACCTAAACAATACCAAACCTAATATAGTGCAACTTTACAAAATTTATTTAAATTTTGGTTTATTTGAACTTTTTTCACAAGGGCTTTTATCAGCTCTTCTTTGCTTATTTTACCTTGAGAAAATCCAAGTGGGTATCCCTCATTTTTAACTCAATCTTTCCTATGCCTATTTCCTTTGTAGAGGAAGGATCTATATCTTATGATATAGATTTTTATATATCCAACCCATGATTACTTCCAATCACTTGTGATATTTTTATTGTTTTATAAAATAATTCCCCACACTACGCATCCATATTGGTAACAAAATCAAAGAGCACACGCAGCTACAGAATTCACCATGGAAATATTTATGATAACCTGCCCTGCCAGAAACCAAACTAAAAATCTCATTCCTTTTACTTCCTCGGCCCTCTTCTTCAGACATATCTAATAAAGCCTTTATCAGTGGCCACGATCTTACTGTTTTCTCTTTCACTCCTCTCTGCCCTTGAACCAGAGAAGAAAACTGCATGGACTTCCCCTGTATTTTGCAAGACATTAGGTCATGCATGCTGCCCACAACAAAGAAGCTTCCTAGTGTGAAACCACAAAGCGAATCGTGACCTCAGCACCCCCAACTCCAGCAAAAGGAGAGGCAGGCGCCAACACCGATTCAACACCAGCCTGAGATCAAACGGTGTCCATTTCTCAAAGTCAGGTATGATTTCTTTCTCTGTTCACAAGCTTCAGCCCGTGGTGGGAGAAAAACGCTTTCTTCACTGCACCCATTATTATTCTCTAAACATACAACACCATAGTTAAAAAGTCCAGGTGAATTGAACTTTGCTTTAAATATCTGTTTTTCCATTCAATGCTGATTCTGAGAATTTCGGGTTCCTTTCCCAGCCCTCGCGGATCCGTGTAAGGGTCTTGTCTATACATGGCAGGATGAGGATGAACTTGATCACCAGCACCGTGCAAGGGATGATCAGTGCTATCACGTAGGCTGAAGGAAGATACCAGACGAGGCTTGAAGGACTGAGGAATCTCTTTCCACCGTACACCAAGGTGTGGGCTGTGCACAAGATCAGGGTCAAATAACCCAGTTTGGACTATAAGCAAGAAACAAAAACATATACATTAACACTGTTTACACTGTAAGCCAATGAAGGGTATTTGTCAAAGCCACAAGCTTTTGAAACCTGTAATATTTAGAACACTGCTAAGTCCTGAAAAACCATTAACTCTCCTTCAGGATGATCAGTGTATCATTTAAAAAAAGACTGTGCTGGGCTTCCCTGGTGGCGCAGTGGTTAAGAATCTGCCTGCCAATCAGGGGACATGGGTTCTAGCCCTGGTCTGGGAAGATCCCGCATGCCGTGGAGCAACTAAGCCTGAGCACCACAACTACTGAGCCTGCACTCTAGAGCCCATGAGCCACAACTACTGAGCCCATGTGCCACAGCTACTGAAGCCCACGCTCCTAGAGCCCGTGCTCTGCAACAAGAGAAGCCACCACAATGAGAAGCCCGCGCACCACAACGAAGAGTAGCCCCCGCTCGCTGCAACTAGAGAGAGCCCTCATGCAGCAATGAAGACCAAAAAAAAAAGAAGAAAAAAACGCAGCCAAATAAATAAATAAAAAGACTGTGCTTGCAAATGACATGGTGGTTTCATCTTAACCTAACTGGTAAAGATTAGGTTAGGAAAGATTCCCAGGAGTAAATTCTTTTGCATTAGAATAAATAATGTACCTTCTTCTTCAGTGGTAAAACTCTTTCCTGAATCACCTTTTCTGGAGGCCAGAGATGAGTGAGATACAGTGTCTCCTCAAGAAGTACCACATTAGTATATGTTGCTGACTAAGAGCAGATGCTAGCTACATTCTGTCGCAATAAAGAGCAATTAGCAAACTTTACTTTTGGTTGGTTGTTTGTTTTGGCCTAAATACAAAGCTCAATGTTTATTTCTGTCTTAATGTCTTGAATAAAGGTGTAAACATGAGAAAATGTTGACTGCATTTGGTCCCTGGGAGAAACTGCAAGACTTCTGAAATTCAAATTGTTCTATAAAGTTCAAAGCTGATTTCAGTTACTAATAGTCTGTTCTGTTATACTGGTTCACAAGGAGCATGCATCAGAATTACTCAGAGGGCTTGTGAAAACAAACTGCTGGGCCATGCCTCCAGAGTTTCTGATCCATTTAGGTCTGGGTGGGGCCCGGGGATTTGCATCTAATATGATCCCAGGTGATGCTTGTGATGCTGCTGCTGCTGGTCCAGGTACCACACTTTGAAGACCTGGTCTATAAGATTAGTTACCAGCTGCTTTTAATGAGGTATCTGGTGGTTGATGTGTGGAAAAACCGGTTTTCCCTCTTACAGACCAGCGTTGAATCTGGTATGATGACAGTCTAGTGTATCTTGCTTTGAAGGTTTTAAAGATTATTTCATTATATGTGTTTCATATCAATAAGTCCATATTCTAAAGTTGTTTTTCAGAAGTAGAAATTTTGTGTTTGGGTTTCTCTCCACCTTGCACCTAGTACATCTCCACACACAGAATTTAATAGTAGTTGGTGCTTTTCACTCTATACTCTTAGCTGTGGCTCTGGGAGTGGTCAGGAATCTTGGCAAGGGATGCCCTGCGAGGAAATTCAGCCATCATGGAATCTGCCTTTTCGTACCAGAGTTTAGCATTTTCTAATCTGAACTTGTTTCAGTTGCTATTTTTATGAGATTGCTAGGGAAGTGATGGAGTTAAATGAAAATTTATGCAGGGTATGAGAGAAAAATGAGAATATTTGTAAAGCCAGAATCATTTTGCACCGTAAAGCAGATTAAATCGTGAAGTCTTTTACCTGGACAAATCGGAACTCTCTCCAGTTGACCATGTTGCTAACTGATGGCAAGGAAGTGATTCCCAGGAGTACAAACAGGAAAAATCCAAGCATTCCCATAGCGATATATGAATCGCTGAGCCAGGCAGTAGAGGTACTAAATGGACTTTCTTTCTTGGCTATTGCCTAAGAAAAGTTATAAGCAATTTTTTAAAATTCCATTTTTTACAAACTGCCCAGACTTTTAAGGGGGTGAAAAAATACCTCTGCATGGTTTCTTTGCTCGAGGAAAATTGTATAACATTTCTTAACAATCACTGAAAATAATTACACCTAGAAAAATACACTTAGATATTATATTTTTTGATAGAAAAAGTAATTGGTTCTACTGGGACTTTATTATGATAGTTGACTCCGGGAGTTGTATAGAGACTTTTAATTGACCCTATAAATCCTAAAACAAAATAAGCATTTACTTAAACCTTCTTTACCATATGGCTTCTTGTTCCCCAAGCAAAAATTGCTGTTCTCAAATGATTACATCAGGATTCTCTTTTCCTGCTTTATATGCTGATTATTCACACACATGAAGTTTGAGTTCTTTCATGTTTTTTATGTTGTAATATAGCATCAAGTCTGTTGCATCACATCTTGAGAGAAATCTGGCCCCTGTAGCATGACTCTTACCCAAGGACATCCCATGTATTTGTTAGGGAAATAATGTAGGGAAATCCACAGACCCAGCACTTTGAGACTGCAGTAAGATTGATCAAAATCAATTATTTCCCAACTAGAACTGATGTGTAGAACTTCCTCTGGGACTGCTTTAAGACTCCCTGAGCTGATTCTCTCTATTTTGACTATGCAGAATATAGTATTTGACATTTGCTCAGAATTGTTTAGCTTTCTAGTTATTGAGGACAGCATCCCACAAGTCAAACATTAATGGAGTTATAAGCACCCTTTTGTGAATTTGTTTACATTCCTATGACACATGTTTGGACACAGCCCCCTCATGTATAAGGCGGTTGGTTTTGACTTCCAAAAGGAAGTAGCATGCATAAGAATAGAAACTTGAAAACACCTTGGCTTCCATTTATTGAAGTAACTCAAGTAGGTTCATTAAGTTTTCCTGAGCCTCCAAATCTGTTAGTTTTGTCAGTATCTCAGTGAGTCCTGGGAATATAGATATGGACCCAAGTGGACCTGGGAATCTACCTTTCATTCTCAATAGGTGTATGAGATTTCAACCAGATTCAGTAAAAAACAAAACAAAACAAAACAACAAACCCCTCAAAACAAACATGAGGTGTCTAATTATAGCTACTTAAAAAAATAAAGATGCTTAGAAGAGTGATTTTCTATAACTGTGAAGTGGAATATGATGTAGCAGGATTGCTCTTTGATTTAAAGAATAGGAGAATACAAATGAGTAGAGATTTACCTGGGCAATGGTTCTGTTGGTCAATGTCCATCGTACATAATAACGAATAGGGATCACAAGTGTGTAGAGGACATGAAGGAAGGCAAATCCCAGTGCTGTCAAGCCAAGCTGCTTTCTGCAAAGCATCCAGTGGTCAAGCCAGTCTGGGAATCGGCGGTATTTTGTACCTCGGTACAGCTGCAGGATGGCCGCAATAACGCCAGGGAGGTAAACCAAGGCCAGCAGTGTAAGTGCTGCTATTGGAAAGACACGATTTGGAATAGAAATAGCCAGGTGGAATGTCCTATCTTTTTTTTCATAAACATAAGGGTAGATTACTTCTCTTATTACACAGTAGAAAAAGAAGAATACACACAGAACAGCAGACAAATAGAAGGGGAACTTCCACATTGGAAATAGTTGCAGTGGGTAGTTTTCAATTTCATTGGCTGCCATGAGAGATCCTTTATCCAATGGAGTAAGTCCAAGACTACGAACAATTTCCATTACTCTTTGCTTGGCTTTGCTGTCATTTCCGCAGACAAACACCTGGGTTAAAATAATTCATTTTGTATTTATTCTTTCTTTAGTAATTATTTTGAAAGTCTGTAGAAGCACTTGGTAGTTAACTGCTTTACAAACAAGGCTGTAGAAAGGACATACTTAACAAGATGATGGTTTAGACTTGCACATGTGTGTTGGATAGTTAAGTACCAGGGTTTTAAGTTGAGAGTGGCTGTAAGCATATCACACTGATATGATAAGACTTGGTTCTCCACAATGCAAACAGTTTGATCTCTCTTCCATATTCTTGGGTGCCGTATCACTTATGGATTGCTTTTAATCTCAATGAATAAATGGAACCCATTTCATACAAGGTAATGGGAGTAGAAGGGATACCCATCAACAATTTAGCAGTGTTATTTTCTAGTACTGACAGGAGGGCTCCAGAGACTGACACCATTGGGTTAGACAGGGTACAGACAGTGCTAAATAAATCACTACAATTGGTTACCCTACTTGGCCAAGCCCAAGAAAGTTATTCATGGCACATATTAGCAGAATGAAGTGTTTTCTTTTGGAATTATGTTTTGGAATCTTTGATGTAAGCACATATTAAGACATTCAGTTTTTAAAGATGGAGTGTAAAAAGTTATCATTTAATCTTACCTGCCGACTTGCATCCAGTGCCCTTGACTGGAGAGCCCAGGCTGAGATGGTGTTAAATGCTTTTACCACGTGGGCTCCTGGCACCAACTGAGCAAGGTACTCTGCATTCGATTGCGGATACTGCTTGATTTTGAGGTTGTTGCTGACGTCGACCAGTATTTTCCCATTGAGAACCTCAGTTAATTCTGTGAGAAAATTGTAATGTTCCCTGTGGATTGCTATGATTATAATGTCAGATTTCTGGGCCGCTTCTGAGTAGCTCAGGACCTCTGCACCGTTGGGCAGCAGACTGGACATCTGGGGGTTTCGACTTCCAAAAACAATAGAATAACCACATTGGAGCATTTCAAGTCCCAGTGATTGTCCAAAATCTCCAGTTCCAAAAATACATACAGTCTCTTGCTTCTCTGAAGAATTCATAGTGAGAAGAAGTACATCTGTAGTTTTCTCCATAACTGAAAGATAATAATGCAAACACCCTACAAAATATGAATGTTCTGGGGAAAATTAATGACAATTATATCCAGGAAACAGTGATTGACTGATGTTGTTTGAATCTTTTACTGAGTTATCTCAAGCATATTCCCTACAAAATTTGGAAGGAGTAAAAACTGTCTCATATGTCTTTATTTTTTTTGAATTTTATTTTAATTTTTTTTAAATAGCAGGTTCTTATTAGTTATCTATTTTATGCAAATTAGTGTATATATGTCTCGTATGGCTTATTAACAAAATCTTCTATTGGATAAAGAAATGCAGTAAAAACCCAAGACGCTTACTGGTTGCTGTCTTAAACTATGGACACGTATCACAATGATACTGCATTTATTGAACACTTAACAGTCCTAAAGTTCTCAAGAGCAAAATCTGACAAAGAATGCAGTAATAAGGAAATTACAGACCAATTCATTTATGTTTAGTGATACAAAAATCCCAGATTAACCAACAGAATCTGGCAGCCTGTTAAGAGACAGTGCACATTGATCACATGGGGTTATTCTAGGAATGTAAAGATTAGTTCTGTAAATTCAATATTAGAAAATCTTAATAGAACTCACCATATTAGAACATTAAGGAGAAAAATGTGGCCATGTTTATGTATGCTAAAAGATCAAGAAGCTATATGTCTTCAGAAATTTATACAACATTGTAAATTAACTATACTTCAATTAAAAAAAACCTAAAAAAATTGATATTTGTCCTTGATTCATATTTAAAAAGGAACAAATAGATATTTCCTTAACATACAAAGTATCTATTTAAATAGCCAAAGTATCTATCTAAATAGCCAGTTGGAAGAAAAAGTTTAATCTATACCTCACACTCCACCCCAAGGTAAATTTAAAATATATTAAAGATTTAAATATATTTTTTTAAATGTAACTATAATAGAACTACAAGAGGCCATGGAGAATTCTTTTATAACCTTAGAGGGGAAAGGCCCTTTTCCTATATCACAAATCCTTGAAATCATTAAAGAATAAAGGGACAAGTGTGATTACATAAAAATAAATGGCTCACAGGCTTAGCCGCTCCGCGGCATGTGGGATCTTCCCGGACCGGGGAACGAACCCGTGTCCCCTGCATTGGCAGGCGGACTCTCAACCACTGCGCCACCAGGGAAGCCCTGGAAAAATATTATAAACTCATACAAACCAATAAAAAATTTGCCCATTAGACAATAGGGCAAAAGAATATGAGATGCTAGTTCATCCTAGGGAAATATGACTTTTCAATATAGTAAAAGATTTCTTAATCTTACCCAAAGTAAAAGAAATACAGGGTAAAACTAAACTGAGATACTGTTATAAACCATGTGATTGTGTTGCTTTTTAAGGTTTTGAAATTTAAAAATCTTGAAGTTTTCATGATCTAATAAAATAATCTAGGATACTCTCTCCACTTTCAAAGAATATTATTTCTTCCTTCGGTACTGGATTTTTCTCAAAAACTTTTCTCTTCCCAATATTTAGCATTTAGTTTAAACTTTTAGTTAATCTTTTTTTGGTGTGTGTGTTTGTGTGTGTGTGTGTGTGTGTGTGTGTGTGTGTGTGTGTGTGTGTGTGGTGTGTGTGTAGTCTCTTGTGTTCAGTGATGCATCCTCAGTGCTAAAAAAGAGCACTGCCTGTGATGGACCAGGCACTTCTTGGTAGATATTTGTGGGATCATATTAGAAGGGTGGAATGTCGGAGCTGGAAGCAGCAGTTGCCTCTGTGTGCCAGGCACAGCATGAGGTGCATGACAAGGAGGAAGCTGAGTGAGTACAGACTGAGCACTGGGAGTTAGGGAGGAGTAAGGTGAAGCAGAGAAGTGGGGGAAGGTGTTATAAGGACATTGCTTCTTCCACCCAAATGGGTTTAAAGTAAAACTTCATGAATTTGATGTGGAATTTCAAACCAGACCTAATCACTCTTCCATTCCAGCATGGTGAATTTCATGCAGATTGTAGAGCATATGAAGATTGCACCTTTTCAATAGGATTTCAGAAATTTGCCCTTTCCATTTTAGCCCATGGAAAACACCTGTTTTTTGTTTGTTTTTCTTGAAGTATAGTTAATTTCCAATGTTGTGTTAGTTTGAGGGTAAGCAAAGTGATTCACTTATACATATATATATGTATATATATATTCTTTTTCAGATTCTTTTCCATTATAGGTTATTACAAGATATTGAATATGGTTCCCTGTGCTATACAGTTGGTCCTTATTGTTTACCTTTGTTATATATAGTGGTGTGTATATATCTATTTTTTTAATTAATTTATTTATTTTATCTTTATTTTTGGCTGTGTTGGGTCTTCGTTGCAGTGCGCGGGCTTTCTCTAGTTGCGGTGAGCGGGGGCTACTCTGTTGCGGTGCGCTGGCTTCTCATTGCGGTGGCTTCTCCTGTTGCAGAGCACGGGCTCTAGGCGTGTGAGCTCAGTAGCTGTGGCTCACAGACTCCAGAGCGCAGGCTCAGTAGTTGTGGCTCACGGGCTTAGTTGCTCCGCGGCATGTGGGATCTTCCTAGACCAGGGCTCGACCCCATGTCCCCTGCATTGGCAGGCGGATTCTCCACCACTGTGCCACAAGGGAAGCCCAGTGGTGTGTATATGTTAATTCCAAACCACTGCGCCACCAGGGAAGCCCAGTGGTGTGTATATGTTAATTCCAAACTCCTAATTTGTCTCCCCCGCCCCCGCTATCCCCTCCACTTTGGGGACCATAAGTTTGTTTTCAATGTCTGTGAGTCTATTTCTGTTTTGTAAATAAGTTTATTTGTATCATTTTTTTTAGATTCCACATATAAGTGATATCATATGGTGTGTGTCCTTCTCTCACTTCCCTTAGTAAAGGAACAAGAAATACAAGACTTCTCTGTACTTCCACAGAAACTCTTTGAATAATTTAATTAATTAATTAATTATTTATAATTAAATATTTATTTATTTAAAATAATTATAAATAATTAATTATTATTTAATCTATTTATTTAATAATTAATATTTAATTAATTATTTTTATAATTTATAGTTATTTATATTTAAATATTTAATTTAATTAATATTTAATTATTTAATTATTAACAAGTGAATCATTTTATAAACTAGCTAGTGACTGATATCCTGAACTTTATCAGAGTAGGAAATGACCTTATATGGGAAAGCACCTGGATATGATCAGGGCCTATCATATGGAAACACAGCTGTCCCTTTGAAAAACTCTTAGCAGCATCTACAAATGCAAACTGGTGTAGCGAATTCTATTATTTTGCTAATCAGTTAACAACTAATTGTTATAACTCAAACCCTAAACTGCTGAATGATGCCTTAATTCTTCTACTTCGTAGAACTGGTTTGTGAGTGTATTGACAGAATACCAGTGTGCCTGGCTATTCCCTCACTTTTTCTCCATTCTTTATCCTAATATATTATTTTTCTATCTCCTATATTGGGATGAACATTTGCAAGCAAAATGTAGATTTGACAAAGTTGCCTGTGTCCTGCAATGAAATGGATTACCTTAATCATTGCAGTGAGAGTCCAGACTTTATTTTGACCACGTGGTCCCTACATTCATCTATTTTAACCTGTCATAAACTTTTTTTTAAAAAAAATGAAGATATTAACCACACTACACTAGTACTTTTTGCTCCACTTACTGGCCATGTGACCTTGGGTAAGTTAAACTATTTGTGTCTCAGTTTCACCAACTTTAAAATGAGAGATCTGAAGTACCAACTCTAGAGGCATTGTGAGGATCAGATGAATTAATGTATCTTAGAACAATTCCTGAGACATAGTAAGTACTCAATAAGCTGGCTATTATTAGGAGAGTATTTAATATGCTATAATTAATTAATCAGTCTATTAATGATCTAATTAATGTAGTCTTTATATAAATACTATAAATTAAGGGTTAATTATGCTTCTCTGTGATTATTGGAATATATAAAATTTACCTGAAATAGTATTCAATAATTCTTGAGAAGCTTCTGCTTTCCCCACTTCTTTCTCATAAATAAAACCTTATATAAAATGGCTTCAGAGCATATGAATTTATCAAAACACAGATGTAAAAACAGCTCAAGTGTGAATTTCTCTCATTTGTAATTCTTTCACATTTTATTTTAATATTTCCCCCTTAAAATGCAGCTTGGCAATCCAATATAACACACTTGGGCTGTTATCCCAAGCATTAAAATTTATTTTCCCTCTTAAATCTTCAGAGACAAACTGAAGATACAAAAACAGTAAGGAGATATTAAAATATCACTGGTGGAGTCAATAGAAAGAAATACAGTTATTCCATTGGGCAGTTAGTTAGTCCGTATCAAGTTATAGAAGTTATAAGGTTGATAATTGTGTCACACACATCTTGAGTTCCCCTTCAAATCCTCCTGGTTCTATTTCCAGTCCTTGGGCAATAACTGAGCTCTGCTCTGTTTCCACTGCCTAACAGAGGCTCACTTTGGGGCTCTAGATCTTTTAGCTCTCGATCCTTGTCCTGGGCTTCTCTGATACCTGTGCCTGTTTGGCACTCAGACATGTACAGCCCATGGCCCCATCATAGACAACGGGGCACAGGACGCCATGGATAAGTGCTTCCCCTTTCATCTTCTGGAACACAGTTCTGACACATTTCATAAGGTTCCTATGAAAGTCCCAGAGGAATAGAGTACCACTCATCTGTAACAGTGGCCGATTTAATGGGCTCTTGTCCTGTCTTTCCCATGTTCCCTGGTTTAAGCCCCTTGCCCCTCACTCCTGTTCCCTGGAATCACTTCCGTAATAAACTATCTGCACACAAGCCTTTGTCACAGGCCCTGCTTGCAAATCAACCCAGGATAATACACTATTTTGATTATTATTATCTTTTTATGGTAGAAGAAAAATGCTCAGACCTCAGGTTACAACTGGGATGATGAAATAACATGTAAAAAATTAAAAAGTTAGCTAATTCTTTGGAAGAATTTG